TAAAATTCTTAAAAATTTAACAATTACAAAATAGAAGTTTATAAAAAAACTGTCTTATTCAGTTCAATTTCGTGAGAATAACGTTTCAAGATTTATAGAAAGACTTTAAAAGCAACCTGGGAAGATACTGAAGAAATGAAGAAGAATAGGATGCTGAGAAGAACACAGCGGGGAAGGGGAAGTTAATCGTAGTCTTCATCGAAGCCCGACGAACCTCCATCTTATTACAAAATACTCGATACTCACGGGAGGTCGGCTTTCGTTTGAAACGGCTTTATCTTCATGCGAAGCTGAGCGACCAGATGACTACGCGGCCATAAATGGATGATCTACGATGTAATGATCTCTTCACTCTCTCGTCCCGACATCACAATTAACCTCGTAAGTAGATGCGACTGCAATCCGACGTGGAAGGGTGCGAACAAGCTTAACGGTGCTCATTTATTCTGAACAGAAATTTTCGGAAACGTCGAGTCGAGTTTACATAAACTTATAACAATCATAAAAACGTAATAGCTGTGGGTTTATAACAGTTGAATAAAAAGTGTATATATAAAAAATTATATTCTAAAATTAATATATTAAATATTATCAGTAGATTTATATGTATTATGTATTATAAAATTTGGTAGTATTTATATTTATATGTATTATAATATTAATACAATTTTTATGTAATTGGTGTGTGATACATATTAAATTTAATATATTAATAAAACAAAAATAGGAACTTTACCTCGCCAGAAAATAATTAAAAGAAGTGGTCAATTAAAAAAAAAAACAACCATTTCTTTTAATTACATATAAAAATTGTATTAATATTATAATACATATAAATATAAATGCTATCAAATTTTTATAATACATAATACATATAAATATATCCACAGATAATATTTTGTCATCTTGTTTATATCAGTTTCTAATCTGAAAAAAGGAAGATCGATATCGTGACATTCTCGTTCTAGTATAAGACCGCTCTTCACGACGATTGTTCGCTGTTGATCGCGCGAGCAGATCGCTCAGCATCTCCCAGGTCTACAGGTGAGTTCGTATCCTTTTTTTTCTCTGCTATTAAGCCCCCATGAGAGGTCTCGTGCGTTCGAGACTCCACTTCCCCAGATTTGTCGAGCATGATGGATAGACTTGTCCACAGCACGCTTTTCTCCTACTGCGCCGTGGTCTTAGCCTCTCTCATTGGTCATCCCACGTGCGAGTGCCCGCGTCACATTTGTTCGTACTTCGCGTAATATTTGCCCATCTGCGAAAGCGATCGTTCTTCGATACATTTTTGCAGAACAAGTTCTTTTCTCCCAACTAAAACAGAACGAGTGATGGTGAAGTTTTCAGACAAGTTTTTTCTTCGTGAAGCAACATTTTCCGCAGTTCTTCTTTAGGATGACAAATTATTTAAGACAAACGCTCAATTTATTGGCCACAATGAAGTAACATTAAATAATAATAAATCGATCCGATCAATTTTATATTACCCTGAATAATTATAAAAGAGATTTCTAGAATTATAAATGTATTACGATAAAAAAGAATAAAAAATTTCTGTTTCTAAAAAATTAAAATAAAAAAGATTAGTTATAATTTTATATATTTAAAAATATATTATTTGGAGTTGTAAAGTGAAAGAGGAAATGTTTTTGCTAATTTATTTCCGGGCGCCATTTATATTTCTATCTTTAACCGTCGACCACCAGTTGCCTGTTCCTACCGATTCGTTCTGTTGGCAGTGATCTGTTTTGGTCCAGTGAGTAACCGAAAAGCCACATGGAACCGATTCTAGTTAATGCATTTTATTCACAATATTCGCACAATAGCTTTTCCTGGCGCGCGCGAGGAAAAGGCAGCGGCGCGGCATTTCGACGCATTGTGCCGTCCATTATCGAAAATTTGTGAAAATGTGTACCGCCGTTCATCGAAAAAGTATATCCGCGCGCCGCGATGGTCTCAGCTGCGTCCAAACTGCTTTCAACGGGAATCAATATTTCGCGATGCCTCGCGAAAGGTTTTACGGCTGACAGTGCGGCCTTTACTATGCAATGTAGTTTGTCGTATTGCAGCCAAAAGGGAAAAGTCGAATATACTTACAGTCGAGCGGAAGCCAAAACTTGTAAGAAATATTGCGACATCTATTACAGCGAAATTTTCAGAAAATATAATTTTTACACCCTATTAACCAGGCCAAATAAAAGTTCTACTGAGTTTGATATTTTTATCTTTATTGCCATCAGCCCGTAATTTTTCAATAATTTTATACAATGTATATTAATGTTATTAAATGTTATCAATTAATATTATACGCTATACAATATTATATTACAATACTGTTATTGTTAATTTTATTCATTTCACTTATTTTATTGGAAAATTATTATATTCTATTTAACAGCTTTAATTATTTCATCTCTCTCGATCTTATACAAGAACAACGCTCCACGTCCGTAGACAATGTAATAGTTATAATTGCTACAATGGCGCAATTGCGAGGAAGAAATACCGCGTCATGTTCAGCGAGAGAAGAAGGAATGCTTATACAAATTAAGTAATGGGAAATGAGTCTGAGATTCTCGTACAGAAAGAACAGCCGGCGTGGCGATGCTCTGCGCGCCCACTGCGCAGCGGAATGGGAAGAAACGTGGGAAATAAGAGATGAAGGCTGCATCTTGGTTTGCGTTCGCGTCGTGAAAAGACAAAGCGACGGAAAGCGGCGGAGGAGGGGACGGAAGGAGGAAAAGAGTTTCCTCCCTCGTACCTTCGCAGTGAAATTTCAATAAGTTCGCGGAGAAGAAAATCGGCTACACGACGCGACACCCCGAAAACGCGACAGCGGCGGAGATCGCGAAGGAATGAAATAACTTGAGGTTGTTTTCGTCCGAGAGAGTAACGAAGCTATTTAGGTAGCGCCGGAATAAAATTATCGCGTGTCGTCCGCACGCGCGCGCGCTCGCGCACGAGCGGAACATCGCGGCAGCGCCACCGAATGAGCCGAGATCTTGGAGAAGATGTTTGCACGCGAGGCATTACCGGCGCTATTCCGCACGGAAAAAGAGATACCGGATAAATGGAGGTGGCGAAGTTTTAAGCGTGTGGGAACACGGCGCGGCGAACGCTAAGAAACAACGCGACGGAGGTAGTAGGTAAGCGAAGGAGCCGGAACAAAAGGCCAATGTGCGAGGAAATACCGCACGAGAGTGCCAAAAATACGCGTATCTTCCTTTTTATTTCTTCGAATTATAATTAGCTAGTTCCTTCTGAGGAGAGATAATTCTCGCTGAGAATTGATCGTAAGGTGTCAATTTTCGTTGTTACTTACAATTATTTCTTTCTTATTTTTAATGATAATTAGAATATAATATAATGTGCATTTTATAAAAATCTGTTTACACATATTTACCTCTTCTTATTAGATACTTCATATTATATTTTCATAATTTGATAAAAATACGCCAAATAAATCTGAGCAAATTGAAAGTGATCAAAAGTATCAGACTACTTTGTAAATTTATTTACATTAATTGCCTTTTGAAACAAAATATGTATAACGCGCAGTTTATATTTTATTATTAGTGATATATGTTCCTTCATGATCAAGAATTCGTATCAGGAATCATTTATGAGAAAAGAAAGAAAACCCTAATATTTGTGTACATAATCATTCTAAACGTAATATTTTACATGCGGCATAAAATAGAATCAAATTATTTTCCTTATTGTTTATAACATGTAGTATAGTGCTGATATTTATAAATTTAATTATTTTTAAAAGAGAACAGAACACTGTGTACTGCAAGATTCTGCTTTCTGACGCCCAAAGAAAGTTTGCTAATTACTCATAAAATTCTTCAATCGTGATAAAAGTAGCGGTTAAGGCGACGCTGTGCAGAAGCTTTCCAGATTTGAAATCTTTCTGTTACACTTTTACGGAAACTTTATGCTGGTAGTCGTGCAATCTACGTGGCGCAAAAGAGATTGTGCGAGAATAAGTGAATGAATTAACGACTCAATTACCTAATAATTACAATATATAATATATTTGACACTAAACAATACAAAACTTTAGAGAGACAATTAATTTTTAATTAATTTTTCCATTTAGGAATAATAAAAGATGTTAATTTATGTAGTTTAAAAAAATTTCGAAAGATTTGTCCGATTACACAGATTATTTTATCGTCGAAAACTAAATCTTTTATAAACGCCTGCCAATTAAATTACAGTCGATGCTGCAAGTTAAATGTAAAAGTGTGGTGAAAAAGGAAGAGGGAAGTAAACAAGACGCGAGGAATAAGAGACGCGGGAGGAAAAAATGATGAAGAAAGAGGAGGAGTAGGAGCAGGCAGAGGAGACGAGAGCGGTAGTAGGAGAAAGATGAGGAAGAAGACAGTACGGAAGAAGAGGAGGAAGACGATGGAAAAGAGAGCCAGGCGAGAGGTAAAAGAGAGGCGTGCGTGCAAGAAGTGATGCGAGGTGAGGGAGGTGAGGAGACGGAAGAGGGGGGTGGTGGTCCGAGTTGGGTAAGGTGAGGGCTCCTACGGGTAAGTACCACTCACTTCATTGACTCGTGCGTACGCCCGCACGTCTGTCAGTCCATCCTCACTCACTCGATCCTCCACTTACTCGCCCGCCTCGCGCTCGCCGCAGACACTCGCGGCCGTGAATACTCTCGGTACACATATACACTTCAAATCTCGCCTGGTTCGGCGTCGAACCCGTCGCCGCCGACTTTAGAGAGGTCCCGAGGTCGCAGGCAAGCGGCGCGGCGCGCGGTGCAACCAGCGCGTGACCTCCTGGATCTGGAAGGTCATTACTCGTCTCTTTCTCTCTCTCTCTCTCCCTCTCTCTCGCAGAAACCCCGGTATCGGGTTCTGATTTATCGATTGTTTCGATCCTCCTTCGGGCACCGTAGGGCCTCGCCTCGGCGACGATCAGTGCCCGGAGAACCCCTCGGTACTGGAGAACAGAGCTCGGTCGGCGCCGGGACCAAGAGGATGACCTTGGCGCGCATCGCTAGGATCTCGGTGGTCCTCGTGCTGCCACTGCTGCTGCTGCCGCCGCTGCTGCTGCTGCTCGTCGTGAACGGATCGTGGGCGCAGGCTTATCCTCGCGAGATCAAGCCAGGTAAGCGCTGTGGTGATGGGAACATGTTTTTAACTTATTAAGAACCATTAGCAACTCTTAAGCGTCACGATTTTTCTTGCTTCTGATCGAAACATTCAAAGTCAGATTGTAGATAAAAAAAGATTTGTTAAGGGCTGCGCACAATGAAAGGAATAGAGAACAGGGAACAGGGAATAGGGAACAGTTCAATATTAACATATTAACATATGTGATTTATTAACACAGAATAGACGAGGAATAGCGCTAAGGAACAGTGATAAAATTTTATTCTATTTCTGTATGCCATATGCACAATGAATATGTCAATATTAAACTGTTCTCTGTTCCTTATTCCTTTCATTGTGCGCAGCCCCTAAGATTTAATTTAAAAAATAACATAAACTTGGGACCATATATAGTTTAGTAGATAGAGCAATCAGGTTATCCCATCCGAATTTTTAGGAAAAAAATTTATTGTTTATTATCAACAATTTGTTTGAGAACGGTTACCCTCTGGATTTAATTTTCATATAAATCTGAGACTAAAAATACTTATTAACCAATCGCTGAACGGTAGCACGGAAGAGACAGAAACACAACAAAAAAAGAGTTTCATCGTTCTCCCATATCTTAAATCATTGGGATAACACACGTATATTAGATCATGAACAGAATTATCAAAAACGAATGATCTCTGAAATGATACACATTAAAGAGCAAACCAACGGTATTAATTCTAACAAAGACACCGAATTATTGGACGAAGTTTATTTTGATATTTTAAACGAACTTTCCACCACTAGTTAATTGCAAACAATCATTGTCCTCGTGTCAAGTTCATTTCTCTCTCAGTTCGTGACGTGTCTTCGCATAGATCAGATCTGTTATATCGATATCACAGAATAATTGTCTGTCATGGTTCTCGTTATCGCTGACCACTTATGTAAGTCCTGGTTTCATATATTTTTAGTGAATCAGTGTTAAATTATCTAATTTAAGTATATTTATCCAGTTGCCACTAAGATGGTCCAGAAATATATGGTACTTGTTTCCAAAATTATTGACTTATATGGGTTTCCACGAGACGACGATATTTCCAAAAAAAACGAAAATTTAATGGAGGATGACAGACTGTAGAAGAAAGCGTTCTACTTTTAATTTTTTTACTTTGTAATTGCGGTATGTTTCTATGTTTAATCGATTATGCGTTTTGACCCCTACATATGTTAGTACTTAATTATTCGAATCGCTTATTATTGAAAATTCTGATGAAGTCCAAATACGATAAAATTAGACATAATAATATGAATTTGTTGTAACATCGATTAATGCTCGTATATTGGTCTTACTTTTCATTATAGCCTTTACTTCAAACGAGGGGAAAGTAAGTTTCTTATTGTAAAAAATAACATATTATAGGTATATATAAATATCTATATCTTTAAATATATTATATATTTAAATTATGTATAATATATAAAATTATATATATAATATTATACTTAAATGTATATTAAATTTGAATTTAAAAAGTGAGCTTTCATATCGCGAATTAGGTCAAGTTCTGAACATCGCAATTAATATGAAAGATTCGCAATAATTGCGACATCAGTATTTTATTAAAAAAATATTGTACTTTATGGTACAAATATATTGATCGCGAAAAATTCTACATGTTCTTAATCTTTAAGAGTAAGCAATTTGCAGCGGCAAAATTATTTATTTTGCAATTGAGCAAACGCGTCATTTGTACATATGATATACATTTTAGTACAACAAATTTACACTGCGCTTTTCGTCTTCATCGAACGTTACATCTATGTCTATAGATTTTATAACGTTCCCGTATAGGTATAATTATATTTGAGAAGACCGTGAGTCTCAAGCGATACTTCTTCCCATGTGTCGTGAGAGCAGTCTATCTTAAGGACCATTGTTTCCGATCGAGAAATCTATAATATAGATCGTCTCTTGCGTAACTATAGGGCCAGGGTTAATGCACGACGAGCGAAGCGCAGTTTCTATCAGACACTATTTCTTCCGTCCGGTTAAAAAGCAGTGGTATTTGAGAGAATAATAAAGAAGGAAATTTATTCTTTTATGGTATTAATAAAATTTATGCTACCTATACTTATTAATAATAATAATCTATAGAATAATATATTTTTAATTATACACTGGATTTTAAAGGCTGAAGTACGTTTATTTATTTATTATTATTCGCATAAAGAATATTGAATCTAACATTTCCATTACCGTGCATATACCTTTGAAATGCTTAAAGAGCATTTTGCCCGATTTAATTACGTCCTTCACTTACCTTTAAAGTAAAAACGTTCGAATTTACACGGCGTTCATTTTCGCCACGCGGCTTTGATTAATCATCAGTGAGTGGATGGATTTTCCTGGATTCTCACCGGCGCGCGGCCGCCCGGCCGGATTTCCATCCTTGTTCGGGTTTTTTCCCGTCTTACATCTATTATCTCGCGTCACTTTAGCGGTCTCGGGACTCGTTCCCTTTCTCTTTGGAAGTCGACCTTCCGACGAAAAAAGCGACCAATTGGATACAACCTTCTGTACAGCAACGTTATGACTTTCGCATTGCTTAATTAGATATGAGAAAGACATTTCTCTCTTTTATCGCAAAAAGTGTGTAATTAAATCACTAAAGTAACATGCCGCTGAGAGAGGAACGATATAAAAACATGTAATTATAATGACAATATAAACATGGTTATTATCACAATTTTTAATTTCAGTGCATAAGCGTAAATATTAAGTAATTAAGTTACAAGAGTTTTCCTTGTGTATATAAAATTGATTGAAGATTACAGTAATTTTAAATTATAGAAATATAATCCGAATTGCAAAATTAATAAATGCCAAATTGTAAAATTTTCAGAACAGTTTTGTAATTTGTGAAATACAGAGAAAAGAAAGAAGAGAGAGAGAGAAAGAGAGAAAGAAAGAAATTTTCCTCTTTGTAGAAATCGTATTTGACTATATAAATTATTATATAACGCATCTTGTATAAAAGTTACCACAATAGAGAATCAATTCTTTCTATTAATAACGGCTATTTGAGATTTCTTCCGAATTGCCTTCATTTGCTTTTTACATTCTTGTATCCATTATGTCGCTTGTCACTGTCGCGGTTCAAGATCGACGTTCTCCATATCCAATCGCGCTTCGACCTTTCTCCTCCTTCTCCTTCTTTCTCTTCTGCTCCCAGATCATCTAAGTGATTCTTTTTTTCTCCCACCCACTCATCTTATGCCGAATGGATTTTACACGGACGTCCAAGCTTGGCTGGCTCTATATATCATCCCTTTTAGAAAATTCCGCGCCCTCCGCCGACGTGACCTCGTACCAGGTCCTTGATATCTCCCGCGCGCAAGGAGTCTCTTGGCAAGGTGAAATAGTATTGATACAATGCCATTACTGAGCTGTGCCAAAACGTCTGGCTCATCTTGCGCCATGACGGAGGAGAATCATAAGCGATCCTTATAGCTGCGAACGCTTGCAGTCTGCCATCTCGATGAAAATCGTTCGTCAGACTGCATCACGCATGTGGAACGCGCGTTAGTCTCGCTATATTCCTTTTGCCTTTATATTATAAATCTTATAATTTGTATTTATCGATCTGTATAAAAATATACCGGCGAGTAATTAACGAATTACATGAATCCGTTATATCATTTATTAGAACTCGATGGAGAGTCAGCAAATATTTCTTCAGTCATATTTTTCGCGTGTAAATAAAGTCATATTTAATGTATTTCTCTGCGCGCAATGCATTTCGGTGGTTTTCACTCGCTCGTATTGTTTTCCCCTGCTCGATTTTAATGGAAAAAACAGATCCCGTAATTTCCGGAATATGTATATATACATATATACATATTATGGATACATCGTAATAAAATCCAATGGCGTTAATGCCGTACGATGTGCAAATAATCAAGAAAGAGGTACACTCCGATGAAAAATAAACCAGAAAATATTTCCGTTATGAATAAATGTTTTAATACGTTTATTAGATCGCGTGTATATCGGCGAATGGCGAGCGGCGGAAATCGCGAAACTTTTCCGATACCTATACCGTGTAGTAGCGAATAATCCGAAACAAGCGCGCGCGCGCGATCGTTGATAATAGCAACTAGCAACTATTATTATCCAGCAACAAGAAATATGATACCGTAAGTACCAATAGGCAGCAATGACGGAAGCCACAATCTTAGAACGGGCGATCCATCATCCGGGGAAAACTATGTGAACTACCGAACGTCACGCTCTCGTCTCGATCATCAGTTAGAGAATGATAAATCTCTCGGCGCGACGGAGAGAACCATCGGCGGGAGCATGGTGAACGGAACTCGATCCCGGCACTCGCGCGACGCTCGCGACCTGCCAATAATCGATCATAGCAGCCCTGCTACAGCGTGTTATCATTTGTCACGTGCCGACTCTAAGATAACTCGAATTGGCAATGGCGCGCGTCCCTTATGTCTTCACCCCGCCCTTCCCGGAAAACTGGAAATAAAGACGACGTTGCAGTTGTCGTTGTCATTGTTAAATTACATCCCGCCGGCGGGCGCGTTTCGCGCAACTCCTGCCTCTGCCTCTGCCTCTGCCGTGCCTGGCACTTCGATATGAGAACCGCGTCGGTTTATTGGACGTCGCATATGCGGCCAAACACAGCTGCTCTAATACCGTTCGTATCTCCTCTTCGCTTCCTCTCGCTTTCTCTTTCTCTCTCTCGTAGCGCCAAAGTGGATACATCGCTGTCGCGCTCGATGAAGTTGCTGGTCGGAAATGCGAACGGATGGGTTCACGTCGTTAGTTATTACGTATCGCGTTCGCGCGACCATTGCAGAAAAGAGCCAACTGTGTTACACGTTGGACACTGCAGAACATTAACTTTTGTTTTCCAGGAGAGAAGAACGTTTACGTGATATAATACATTGAAAATGCGCGGGACGTATACAAAAGAATATATGTCGCATTCACTCGTATATAGCTAT